GGCCAGGATTAGGGCCAGGAGCCGCCGGCGTCCGGCGTGCGAGGCCCGGCTCTTGCGCACCGAAGCGAGCGGAGCGAGCCGAAGAGAAAATTTGAGGATAAGGTCGTACTTGCATGTATGTACGTCCCTGTTTTGACAGTACGTACGTAGTGTCGAAGTACGTCCGTGGTTGAGCTGAGGCGCACGTACGCGAGGGTCGCTAGCGTGTCGTCAGCAAGGGCGTGTGGGCTGGGGGCATTTCCGCCCACGTTCTTGCGATACGTACTTGATTTCACGGTCGTGAAACCAAGGTTGCCAAGCTCTGAAAGCTTGTCATCACCGCGTAAAAAAAAACTGTTGGGGTGGTGCCGTCCTCCCATCCCTCCCTTGGATTATCTGGTTTCTTTCTTTCTTTCTGTGTACGCCTCCCCGTGTTTGTAGCCCGGCGTGTGAGCCCCGTTTGTGCCGCGTCCCGTGCCCCCGAGTTCATTTTAAGTTTGCGGCGGTCCTATTCCCAGCTCGCGGGGCCAGTTCCTTTAGTTTGGGGGGCCGCGGAAGAAAAACGGAAGAAAATCCGTGGAGGCAGCTTCAGCTGGCGATCGGGTTTTGCGCCGACCTGCTTCGCCCTTATGCCCGCGGCGTCTACCCCTCCGGCCGTACCGAGGCCGCCAGCCGAGTACGTTCTGCGTGCTCGGGAGGCGGCGCTCGACTGGAGCAACGCGGCGCCCACGGGAGAGGCGGGCCCCTCCTCGGCGGCGGTGCCATCGCTGAGGCGGCTGAGAACGAAGTCGAGCGTATCGGGGCGACAGGGCGAAGGCCCGGCCGACGCACATGGCGGCGACAGACCCGTCGTCGCACGCGTGGAGCTCATCCACTCGTGCGATGACGGGTCTGTCGTCACCATGTGCGTCAGCTGCCCCGACGTGCCGGCGCAGGCCTGCCGCTCTTTCAACCAGGACGCGCGGGCCACCGTCGCCGCGCTCCTCGGCGGCGAGCACGCGAGCTGCCCCGGTCGGCGGTACACCGGCCGGGAGCTTGCCGCGTGGGTGCTGACCGAGGAGCAAATTTCC